ATGAGAAAGGGATGTCTAGAAAGACAACACTCTTCAGATGTAAAAGAGAACCTAATATCCACATAGGACAAAATTACCAGTTCCAAACAGGATGAATATTTGGGAATACTTAAACCCCAAACATATCCACACTTCTTTATACATAGGCCAATAAACAGGTTCAGCCTGAAACATAAGCACAATTCATTAAGGCACAAACGTGTCATTTGTGAACTGTGTGTGACCTCAAACCCAAATGTACCACAACGAGTGCCAATCCATTTAAATCGGGTGTAGTTTCTGCACAATATCAAGAGAGACCGTGTTCTGGCGTCGAGCCAAGAAGGGAATTCAAGGAGCTCATCCTCCTGGAGTGAACTCCGGGCACTTGGGAAGGAAGCTGCATTTCATTCTATTTGCTAAGGTGGTGCAGGCTGTTCCCTAGAACACACAGCACCATCCTGCCTGCCCAGCAGCTCAGGGCTAGGCACACCACCAGTTTAACAGCTCAGTGATTCAGCAGCCGCAAGAGAATCTCCAGTTTGAACAAATATGGAGAAACAAAGGAGATTTTAATTGCTATCCCGTATTACGCCTCTCCATTTGCCACAAACCACTGCCACCAGACAGAAATTGCAAAATTGATTTCTATTAACTGGTCAAAGACTCCTCTCTTCCTATCCCTAGCAGCTTGGGTTAATGAAGCTGTAAACCATGTAATTTTGAGATTCTGCCTGAAAGGAAAGTTAACATTGTCACAGTGGAAGAGTATAGTACTCTAACTCCTTTTTGCCCTCCAGGAAAGAATAAAAACCACAAGGATAGTATGAAGGTTGCTGTAAGAACCTACTGGCTACCTGTGGTGATTGTGCTCCACTTCAGTCACTACTCCATGAAAGTTGGAGAAAGTTTGGAGAAAAATTCAGAGGCAAGTAACAAACACTGCTGAGGCTGAAAGAATTGCCTTTCTTTAACCTGAGAGGACCAAGCATGGCAACTATCTTCTAATACCCAATAAGTTTTCCTAACTATAAGAACATTCAATTGTTCTCCACATCCACTGGGAAGGACAAGAATAAATGGCTTTAATTTGCAATTAAACCAAAACATTCAGGAAAGAGCTCTCCAGAGGTATCAGTGAGTTTTCAAACAGGCTTGGCAACTCCCTGTAAAATCATGGTCTAGCTCAGTCACGGGGGACATCTGCCATCAAGGCAGAACTGGGCTGATCCCAGTGTCAATGAGCTGCAATACTTTAAAAGGAGTTCTTGTCAAAATCACCAAGATAGTTCATCGTCAATGCTCTAAAGATACTTATGTCCTGTAGGACAGTGAAGAAAGTTACATGATCCCTTTCTGTGCTTTTTTTTCCCTCCATTTCCTAAAAAGCTTTAAAACATTCATTATTAAAAAAATTAAGTCCCTCACATCAATACTTGTCTCCAAACTAGGATTTCTGAAATTATTGTACCCAAGCATGTACATATGCTCATACATATGAAGAGGTTACTGACAGGTATTTATTTTTAAAATGTACTTAAATAACTTTGTTCTTTCCTATCACAAAAATTCAGCTTCCAACAACCTAAAATGTTGGGCACTCATTTCCAAAAGATCTGAGCAAACTTCAATGCTTCACTATGGGATCTAGGTCCAGGCACGTGCCCTTTCTCTGCTCCAGTTCTCACAACTGTGGGTTATAATAGCTCCACTTCAGAACACTGTGGAACAATTTAATGCTTGTAAACTGCAGGTGCTGGGGTGAGTAGGAGAGCAACGAAGCTGGTGAAGGGCCTGGAGAATAAATATTATTAAGAACAGCTGAAGGAGCTAGATGTCTTCAGTTTGAAGAGGAGAAGGCTGAGGGGAGACCTCATCGCTCTCTACAACTACCTGGAAAGACACTGTGGAGAGGTTGATGCTGGTCACTTCTCACAGGCAATTAGTGATAGAACAGGAGGGAATGGCTTCAAACTGCAACAGGGTAGGTTTAGACTGGACGTTAGGAAAAACATTTTCACAGGAAGAGCAATCAGACTTTGGAACAGGCTGCCCAGGGAAGTGTTTGAGTCACCACCCCTGGATGTGTTTAAAGGTCGTTCAGCTGTGGTGCTGGTGAGCTTTGCAGACTAGGGTTAATGGTTGGACTCAACAATCCCAAGGGTCCTTTCTAACCGGAATGATTCTATAATTCTAAATTAGAGGCACTTAAATAAGGCATTCAAGTACTTAAATAAGCAGCAACATAGTGTTAAGCAAAAAGAATTAGAATTTAAGAACATTAGAATTTAAAAACAGGTCATTTAAAAACCAGATCAGACCTACGCTGGTAATGGTTTGCCAACTGCTCTTCTCATCTGTCCCAAGAAGTCCAGTACTCCCTCTCTCCTCCTTTGCCTCCTCCAAACTCACAGCTCCATTTTCCTCTAGCGGAGCACAAGCACTTACTGCATCCCCCATCCCGGGCGCTGCTGTTCAAACAGGGCCCACCCTCGGCAATGGAACGCAAGTGTCAACAGGCGATAGGCGCTGTTATGTAGTGGGGTGTGGTATTTACCTAGGGAAAAGCCACATCCCTCAGCAACCACTTCAACAACTCCAAGCCTTCACATAGTAACTGTAAGGTCATTCCAAACCACTGTGTGGAAAGGATTTAAAAAAAAAAAAACAAACAACCTACAAACAAAGAAACCACACTCCTATTTGGGTTAGCCTCAGAACAAGCGAGGCCAAGTCCCAGACAGGACGGGAATCCATAAATGGAACATGGCAATGATGGAGAAACAGAAATGGGGACCCTTCACCTTCCCCCACAGGGGTGAGAGGGCTTTCTGCGTTACAAGGTAGTTGTTTGTTTTTGCAGCAAAACCTAAGATTAAGGAAACTCTTCCTGCCCCAAGACAGCACTAGGAACTATGTAAGGAATTCAGAGAAAAGGTAAGTCCCCCCTCAAGCAAAACTACAGGATCAAAAGAGAATTTCTGTTAACAGAACAACACAAAGAAGGTGAGTTAATTCCTCCTCCATATCAGAAGCAGGTAGTCCCAGCAGACAAGGGATTATTTAAGACTTTAACTTCCTTAATGCAGCCTTAAGAAAGGGAGAATCAAATTCAGACCTTACATAAGCAGCAGTGACTCAAGCAAGACTGAAACTGAAACAAGGCATCTGCTTTCCTGAAGAGTTGTGGGCGTTTGAACAATAATGAGTGTGTTGTACAGAGTATGCTTCCTCTGCCCTGAAGGTAAACAAACGTGTTTACAATCAAGATCCTGGATATCCCACCTTTTTAGAAGCACAAGCATCAACTGCCAATTTATTAAGACATGAACTCACTTAAAAATAAAATAAAGAGGGTGTAGTTTATGTATAGACCATTTATCTACCAAAACTTTTCTCTCATAGTAAAAAGAGACCAAAAAAAAAAAGCCCAAACCATAAAACTTAAAAGAATTTCATATTGTTGGCTCCTAGCAACAGAACTGCAAGCCACACTACTGTATCTTGCACAACCACCTACACCAGCCTCCTGAAATATGGAGCAAGCAGCAGCTCCTATGCCAGACCGCACATAGGTAACAGAACCCGAGAGTGGCCAACGTCAGTACACCGGGGCTCAGTAGACAAAGAAAAGATATTTGAAATGTCATTTGCAGGTTGTCTATGGCTTAGGCTGCACACAGGAGAACAATCCATGCAGAGAAGATACTTCACAAGCCAAGACCGATTTTGCTGCCCTGTCTGCTCTTCTTGAAGACCACGGAAATGGGCAATTTGGCTGCATTCATCCTATAGCCATTCCCTGTCCCACAGATGACTGCTGGCTATAAAATCAGAGGACTGAAACGGCAGTCTGGGATCAAGATGTACAACCGTGGCAATGGGAGAGGACATGCCTCTTGGCATAATGCAGAAAATCCCAATGTATAAACAGTGATAAGGAAAAAACCAAAAAAATCAATATTCTTCTGTCTCTCCAGTTTTCACACTGGAATGGGAAAGCATGCTCAGGACATCAGCCAGTCCTACTGCTGGAAAAAGCCTTGGAGACTGTTGGTGATTATCAACCACAGGACTTCCTCCCCCCCTCCCCCATTGCTGAAGGCAGTCAGTCACATACTCTCCTAGGTCTTGCTATGAACTTTGGGAAAACAAGTCATGAAACTGTACAGAGGCCTGATTAGTGCCCAGATCCATGCAGAACATTAGGCCAGAAAGAACTCAGGAGACTCACTTCCTCCTAACACATTTAAAATACAGCTTAAGTTGTTTTTTTTTCCTACTGAATGCCTTTGGTAGCCATGGTGGCATCACGAGCAAGTGACAGGCAAAACCACCTGGAGGTCAGGAACCTCCGCTTTAAAATCCTCTTGTAGGATTTTCAACAGAATGGCAGAATCTGTCCTGAAATGAGGGATTTAATTACTTACTCCTTCTGGATTAGCACAAAGAGGCAAAAAAAAAAAAAAATCCTTATCTAAATCCCACAGAGCAAGACAATACAAACTGCATCCAGTTATCAGCCCAAAATTCTTATGCTCAGCATTTTGCACCATAAAAAGTGAAAGCTGGAGCGTAGGAAGGTTCCCTGGTTTCTTCAGATCACGTTCTCCTCTGAACAAAGCTGACCCTTTGCGGCACGGGTGCCGCTGCTCCTACAGAACGTGCATGGGTGGGAATGGCTGAGGAGGGAGCCCACAAGCACATCTTATCGCGATTAGAACATTCAGGTCAAGTGCACTCAGCCAGCAACCCACTCAAACCCCACAGAAGATAACAAACAGCCGATCTGCACGCACAAACACTGTTCACAGATTTTTATCCTTCCTATCTCTGCATCGCATAAGCACACAGCGATGGAGGAAAATACAGAGGCTCCCTTTAAAGACTCACTCTAGCTCTGCCTCCTTCGGGGTCTCAAAAGCCAGATTTCCTGCACAGCCACAAAAGCACCAACACACAAGAAGTCTTTCTGCTTCTGTGTCACCCATTCACTGGAGAATTGCTCTCGTGTTACTCACCTCGATGAGAAAAACCTGCATGCTCCGATTGAACGGTTCCAACAAAACTTCAGCTATTTCCAAGGCTACAAAACGATACATACTGATCCCATTTGGAAAATTTCCGATGAATCCTCTGAAAAGCTTTTTAGCCTTGAGTTTTGAGGAAGCAGCCTGAAATTCAGCAAGAGGAGAGTTTTCAAAGCAGGAGCCAGCCAGGGGAAGAACAGAAGTCAACCTGACCAAATCTGGCAAATCCCAGCTCACTTGCAGTAGATGCTCGTTAGTCTTTACAAGTCACCTTCTGTGGAGGTCGCTGGGCAGGGCACACACAGGGGGACTGATGGGGCTCAGCTGTGAAGGGGGTGCTCAGACATCCCACTCGTCAGACACAGGAGGTGATCCTGAGGAGGTTCAGCTGTGACTGAGGTTTGCCCAGTACAAGAGAACCATCTCTCCCTGGGCCTGAAGAGCCTCTCCAAGCACAGCCCTGCTTTGAGTGCCCTCTTCAGTGTGGGCATGGCAAAGGGGCCAGCTCTGGCTCTCTCTGCACCTTGGAAAGGAAGGGAGGATGAAACATTGCTGCCAGACATCAGCGCCTTCCACTACTGGGACCTGTTCAGATGCAGAATTACGTTTGTATTGGAACTTCAATGATGTCTTAAAAGCAAAGCTGAGTACCGGAAAGTTAGAAATTTTCAGAATTTTTGATACAGATCTTTCAACACAGTCTTTAGTTATACAATAACATATTGTAGTTCCTATGCCTTCAGTGTAAACAAGCAATTTCCAACTTTATAAAAAAATAGCTTTTTTATTTTTTTTATTTGGACCTTGCTGGCTTTACCATTTTTACTTCATTTACTGGAAGTCTACTGCAAACATAAAACTGCCACATGCTACTCAGTTACTAAGACAGCCATCACTGCAGTAGTAGAGCACTTTCCAAATTTTAATAAACTTATTTTCACAATCTCTCTTCCGCAAACTGTTTTATTCATAGACAAAACACTGAAGGAAAGACAAGTAATATGAAAAGTACCCACTACTCCTGAAAGCCTAATCTGAAGCGTCAATTTTTGCTTTTCCTAATACCTAGTGTTACGTAATACTGTAGAATAGCTCCCATTAATTTCTGTTACAGGTAGAAATGTTCAGTAAAATCCATACTCTCAAGACAGTCAATAGGAGAGTGAGAAAAATACAATTAGTGGCCATGGTAAAACTCTGCACGTCTCTCAGGGACACTGTGAAAGGCAAGCAGTTCTCCTCCGCAGCATTAAATTGGGAAGTCAGTTTTCCTGCGATTTGCCTGACTCGCTGCATACCTATCTATGAAGAAACAGAGATCCTGTAACACGTGGCATTGGTCACTACGGAACTGTAACTTGTCCACTGACTTGACTGGAAATATAATAAAGCTGCTTATTAGTTGAGAGTCATTCATTCTGTGCATTAAGTACCATGCCTGCTTGTGATTCAAGACTGTAGAATATTAATATACCCACACTGCAGTCACTTTAGTTCTTTTATTTCACTTTAGTCCTTTTCTTTCATGTATTTTTAATGCTTGACTGAACGATGATTATTTAAGACAGTTGTCTCGTGTTCTCCTGATGTGTTTTTTTTTTATATAATGTATTTACCTGGGTTTGTAAAGCAATAGCCTGCTTGCCCACAAGGTCTTGACCTTATGTCTAGTCTTTCCCCTTGCATTTCCAGTGGCATTCCCAACCAGTCCCAATCACTCTCCTTCTGTTTGCCTGTACATATCTCCTGTACCTACCACAACCCTCTTACCATCCTCATCTCCAGAGCTTTGCTTTTGACCAGCCTGCACTAGAATTGCAGTTTCCTGCCGCAAAGTGTCTGCCCGTAAGACTGGTCATCTGAAACCACAAGAGAAGACGCTACCTGTGTCACGTGCTCAGGGGATCCGTGAAGATTTTCAGAGGTCGTGATTTCAAAGTGTCTGAACAGGTTCCAGCAATGGAAGGCACCGACATGTCGCAACAGCGTTTCATCCTCCGTTCCTTTCCACAGCACGTGCTGCAGAGCGAGCCAGAGCTAACCCCTCTGAGATGCCCGCGCTAAAGAGAGCACTCAAAGCAGGGCTGTGCTTGGAGAGGCTCTTCAGGCCCAGGGAGAGATGGTTCTCTTGTACTGGGCAAACCTCGGTCACAGCTAAACCTCCCCAAGCTCACCTCCTGTGTCTGAAGAGTGGGATGGCTGAGCACCCCCTTCACAGCTGAGCCCCATCAGTCCCCTGCACGCACCACAGACAGACTTGGATGAGCACCAACACCTCAAAGGCAAGAAGTAGAAACCTACACCTGATTCAGCACAGAAATGACATGCTGTCCACAGTGAACATCACTGAGAAGAACCACTTCAGTGTTCTCAACTACATGGAGCTGCTCGAAAAAAGCTACGACACCGAGAAACCTGTGTTCTCTGTAGCAGCTCAGAGTAGTGAAGCTATAGCTAAGACTGGATCACTTCATGTGAGGATGTAGTAGAGAAAGGGGATAGAATCAGTTATACTGACGATGATCAATGAATTCCTGTCATCACTGATAGCATTCATCACCTTGAACACTGAGCTTTCTGTGCAGTGTTCAAGGTGATTTACCAAGAGATATTACTCTTATGACAAGAAAGCTGTATGAAGACCACAGCAGTCTGCATTCTCCTCAGATACATCACACGTGATCTCTGCCATTCTTACAGAGTTCTCCGACATCCCAGTGTCCTGTTCAACAGGTAATCATCTGGTGGACTGATGAATCCCACACGTTTCACTGTTAGTTACAAGCAGACACAACATATATCTATACGTGTTCTTTATCAGCCATAACCACACCTCTGTTATGAACACGGCTCAAGCACAGATGAGGGCAGAAGGCTGACGAAGAATAGCAGATTGAAGCAGAATGTGATTAGAATAAAAGCAATATCGGTGGGCTGGGGTAAACAGTTGGAAGAGTTTGCATTCGCTACGCCAGCTTACTTGGATATTTCAGCCTGTAGATAAGGAGTGTTCCTGGATTTGGGGTTAATGCCAAGCTCCCACAAAGAAGCATCTGTGTCATGCTTGCTATAGTCACCAACTGGCTTGGAGATTCTGTCCCAAGCTCTAAATCTGGATCATGTCAGGTCTATGATACTGCTTCAGATGAGATGCCAGTTGGTCTTTGGCTAACTTCTTCCCAAGCTTGTTAAGGAACGGAAGTTTGGTAACAGGCAGTAATAGCTAGGTCTGATGGGTTCAGGGTAGGTTTCTACAGCATCAGTTTCACACTTCCATGTTTTGGAATTTAAAGGAAATTTCATCCCTTGTGGCAAGGTCAGTGTTTATCAATACAAAAACCCATGAAATGCTGCTGGCTATGTGTTATCCCAGAAAGCATTCTCCATTACTGACAGGCACGGATCAGTCAAGCATTAGAAAAAAAAATACACCAGAGTATCACTAGTCTTACACTCTTCCCATTCCCTCTGCTTTTGCTGAGCTTTTTATTTTTCCGCCTTTAATTATATTTTCCCCCTGGATGCTCTGCTATGGACAGACAACACCGTCTTGCTCAACTTGTGAGCTTTTTAGAGAAAGCTCTGTTAGTAGAGAAGGTTGAGAAGAGCACTTAAAAACACAATCTAAACCTTTGCTATGCAAGATCCAAATTAACCTGGACTGACAAGCCAATTCTTTCTGCCTCAGCCCCCTTTCTCTGCAAAAACTACACTAACAGAGAAGGTAGAAGAGAGATAGACTGACTCTAGTGGCACTGTACATCAGACAAGATCGCTTTTTCCTTCCAAGATGTGCAATGATATTATTACCTTTTCTGCCACCACATTTTATAGATAATCACCACAACGCGCTGTGTGATGATCCTTAGTTCTTCTCTCAGTCACTGCTAAACGACACAGCTATCTGTCACATATATACAACGTGCATCCTCAGCTTCCAGAAATATTAGCTATATTAAATTGCATCACATTGTGAGCACTTAATCAAACTGATTCACTTTAACACATTCCATTTATAATAAACCTTAGACGTGAGTTGAGAAGTTATTTCTCTCCATGTTAACCAGCACACATTCAAATAAAAAAACGTTCCACCTCATCAGACCAGTCTAATAGGGTAAGAGCGCGAGAGGCCAAAAACATACACACATGCAAAACTTCCATACTATTGCCCCAGCCACTACCCTTACTCATAGAATCACAGAATGTTAAGGGTTGGAAGGGACCTTTAGAGATCATCCAAGTCCAACGCCCAACTCCTTTTGAGACTGGCATTGATTTTCACAAATAAATTTTCAGTTCTGCTAAGTCGATGACAAATTGAGACAGAACTGCTTAGCTATTCCCTCTTTAAGTATGATGAGTTGCCACTGTTACTTTCTTTCCCTCCTTCCATATGTAAGAAGCATTAAAAGGAGGTTTGAACTGGAGAAGTGCACATACAGAGAAACTTGTATAACATAACTAATCCAGCAGGTCCATAATAAAAGAATTTTAATACCGCTTTTCCAATTTTAAACTGTACACCCAAGCAACAACATGTCCTCTAACACAGAAAAAGTGAAAACTACCAGTGGGAAATTGATTTAAAAGAGAAGAATCTTGGAACCTCTAAGCCACCATTTCAGATACATCCAGGATCAGAAACCCTTAAGTGATAATCCATGTAATTGGCTCGCTCTCAACTGATTTGGTAAGAGCTAACTCATTTCCTACTAGACAAGAATCCACATTACAAATAACCAGTCACCACCAGAACTGATACCGCTGATGTTGTGATATCCACTTGAGTGTACGGCAGAGAGGAAGCCATCCTCAAACTGAAAAAAGGCTCCCAGTTCAGAATTTTGGCCCAATAACTGTGCAACATGGAACGTACACTACTGCTGTTCACCTCATAGTTGTTCAGTATATAAGGAAAACAGAAGATGAACATCAAACTCATCTTGCACCTTCTCACCCTGAGAAGAAAAGGTACACACTCTTTTTGGTTTCCTCTCTTCCACCCAAAGACTCGTCTTCATGGAACTTTGAAGAGTTCTTGAAGAAAGTTTGAGATGTCTATACTACTGCCAAATTTGGCTGAAATCTACTAAAGCTGTTAAAATGGAATTGATAGAGTGATTACACAAGCTTTCTTTGCTTTGGAAAGTAGGCTAAAAACCCATTAAGCATCTTACTTATGTCATCCCTTCATTCCTATTCTTCATTTAAAAATAACAATTCTATTCTACTGCATTAGCTTATGTAACCCACCCCTGAGCTGAAGTAGTTGAAACTTTCGGTCTGTACTTTTGAAGTGTGTGTGCCTCTCTATATGTTTGTCCATTTTAAGGCGCTTGCTATTATGAAAAACAACAGTAAGAAGATCAGTGAAACTAAAAAAAAAGCTTCACTAATGGCTATCCCCTAAAGTTTCTGGACTGGTATCACTGCAGGCGAGAATTGAACTGTTTTTTTCTCTAGCAAGTTGTCAGCTGTTCTCATGGTTACAGATCTAGGAATTTGGAATGACAGGTCACAGTTATGAGAACGGGTAGATTTATTTGGCATGTTTGTATCTAGTAAATAACATTCTCCTGTAAAGAAGACAGGAGGCTGCTGTACATCATCACGTTTATTCTCTGCAAAAACCACTTTTTAAAGTCTCTGTCCCAACAAAGAAGGTGCTAAACAGAGTTACATATTTCTTAAAATTACTCACTCACAGAACGAAGACAAAAATATATAATTCTTGCACTCTCTCCATTACTATAAATGGACCACTGGTGCTTTCACTGCAAGATTCAACTGTGTATATACATTTCCCAGATGGCGTGAAGCAAGGGTAGAAAAGCACACTTCCCATTTAAATGCAAGGGAAGGCAGGAACGTTAACTGTTGCCATAGGGTAAAATCTATTCTGCTAATTGGCTATTTAAAAAATAACCAATAATTTCTTATTAACTGCCAAGATTTGTGAAGCTCCAGCTATGGCGTTATGCAAATCACACTCGCATAGCTCTGCACAGTTGGTTTTCACAGAACCACAAGCTCAGCTAGCAGGGCACCAGCGGAACAGGCTTCTCTCACACTTCCAGCTCTTCATCGCTGGAGGGATCTTCCTCCAGGAAAGCCAGGGCAGCCCAGTTTCCAAAGCCTCTGTTAATTCCTGCACAATGAAATGCGGAACCTGTGCCAAGGAACTGCAACACCAGAGCTGATAGGGAGAGCCACCAACCCTGGGGCACGGTCGTGGACAGCATCCCCAGGCTTAGCATCCCAGGATTTCAGCTCTGATCACACCCAGGAAGGTCTCCAGGGATTCCCGCCTCTCACACTGGGCTACACAGGTAGCTTCAGAGCCGACAATATTTCAAAGACCCAACTGGGTCTTGGTTTCCAGGTCAACAAGTAGGGAGGCCTCTAGCTGAGACGCCTGGGAGGGATTTCTTCAGCTTCAGTCTCCAGTTCCTGGGTCTGCAGATGGAAGCCTTGAAGCCCTGATAACAGGAACATTATCAGAACTTCTGCTCCCACAGTTGAAGACCTGGGCAAGCTTCCAAGGTCCCTGCTAGGCACTGGGGAGTCTGATAGGCTTGACAGTCCATCACTCCTCTGAGCACTGGTCTGAGCTTAGTCACAAGGTGCCAGGCTCCAAATTAATTTCTAGTATTTCCAAAGAAAGGTCTGAGGAAATTCCAATACGAGGGAAATTTTAAAAGGTCACCATCTCCCACAAATTAGGAAACACCTCTGAGTTCACCTCTGTGTGGCCTGCCCTAGGTGATGCTGCTCTGGCAGGGGGGTTGGACTAGATGATCTCTAGAGGTCCCTTCCAACTCTGAACATTCTATGATTCTGATTTCAGTTTCCTTCAGAAAAGTCTCTATCTGTCGTATTCCACTCTGAGAATGACCCTTCATCTATTAAAAACACATACACTGAAAACAATAAATATTCACAAAATATGCGAGTTTGCTTCTAAACAGAATCT